TCATGTTGTACTGGGTTGTGGGCAATGTTAATGGCGGCCTGATTATCATAGTAGAACATCATTGGCTTGTCATACTCAATCCCAAGTTCCTCCATCAATGACCTTAGCCACAACAGTTCAGAGACTCCATGTGCCATGGCCCTGTATTCTACTTCTGCTGAGGATCGAGCCACAACTGATTGTTTCTTGCTCCTCCAAGAGACAACATTACCAGCCACCAAACTGCAATACCCTGAAGTAGATATTCTGTCACCAATATTTCCAGCCCAGTCAACATTAGTATAGGCTTCAAGTTTCATATGACCATGCCTGGTAAACAAAATTCCTTTTCCTAGAGAGCCTTTCAAATAACACAGAATTCGTTCTGCGACTGCCATATGAGTATCTCGGGGAGCATTCATGAACTGGCTAATACAACTGACAGCATATGCAATATCTAGCCGAGTCATGCACAGGTACAGGAGTTTCCCAAGAAGTCTCTGAAAGACCCCTTTGTCTTCCAACAATGTTCCATCTGAAGCAAAAAGTTTGTTACTCATATCAATAGGAGTTACAGCTGGTCTAGCACCCATCTTCCCAGTTTCAGAAAGCAAGTCAAGGACATACTTCCTTTGGGAGATAAGGATCCCATCCTTGGATCTAGCAACTTCTATGCCAAGGAAGTATCTCAACGACCCCAGGTCCTTAATCTAAAATTCTGTACGAAAGACTTAAGAGCACGAATTCTTGAAGAATCATTACCAATCACAACAATATCATCAACATACACAATGAGATATACTGCCAGAGATTCTCTTCTCTTCACAAAAAGAGTATGATCAGACTGTGTCTGAGCATAACCGAAGTTAACAAGTGCTGCTCTAAATCTCTCAAACCATGCTCTAGGAGACTGTTTGAGGCCATAAAGGGACTTCTTCAATTTGCATACATTTCCTTGCATATCACTTCCGTACATTCCTGGAGGGAGAGACATATAGACCTCCTCATGTAAGTCACCATTCAGAAATGCATTCTTTACATCCAACTGATAAAGGGGCCAGTTTAAGTGAGCTGCCAGAGATAAGAGAACCTTCACAGATGTCATCTTAGCAACAGGTGCAAAGGTCTCCAGATAGTCAATCCCATACGTATGTGTGTAGCTTTTTGCAACTAGCATGGCCTTGTACCTCTCAATAGTCCCATCATCCCGGTATTTAATGGTAAAGACCCACTTGCAACCAACCGGATCCTTCCCTTTAGGCAAATCCACCACTTCCCAAGTATCATTCTTGTGTAGGGCATCCATTTCAGATTTCATGGCATCTCTCCATTCTGGAATCTCAAGAGCTTCTGACATAGACCTGGGAATAGGATTAGAAGCAACTGAAGAGAAATAAGAAAAATAAGGAGAAAGCAGACCATAAGAAAGGTGTTTTGAAATGCAGTGTGCAATGCACTTCCCGTTTCCTTTCCTAACAGCAATGGGAACATCAAGATCCGGGAAAGATGGTTCCAAAGGGGTTGAAACAACACCTGTTGTCTCATCTGTGATTGGAAGTGCATGAGGCTCGCTTGTTGGAAGGGAAACAACCTGCTCATTCCTGGATCTTTGCCTTTGATACACCTTAGGATTGTGGGTAGGACGAGGAGGTAAAGAGATAGGAACACTAGGACAAGGAGAATGGAGTGACTGGTCCTCCCTTGATTGATTTGGAGAGGACACAGGCTCATCATGAGACTCAACTGGGACAGGGAGAGGAAGAGCAAACACTTGTGACAAACTCTCCCCCTGTGGACAATGTCCTTCCTGAGAGGAACCATAAAAAGGAGAAAATTCATCAAAGGTAACATCCATTGAGACATATCGAGTGCCAGTCTTTGGATCAAAACAACAGTAACCCTTCTGTGTGGGGGAAAAACCAAGGAAGATACACTTGTGGGCTTTTGGTTCAAATTTATGTCTCTGAGCACTTGGAATGTGTACATAACAGGTGCAGCCAAACACACGAAGAGGAATAGGAAAGAGGTCCTTGTCTGGATGAAGAAGACTGAAGGGGGATTTAAACCCTAGAATCCTAGATGGCATACAGTTTATGAGGTAGGTAGCAGTGATAACAGCATCACCCCAAAACTTGTAGGAACATGTGAGGCAAACAAAAGGCTCCTTGCAACTTCAATAATATGTCTATTTTTCCTTTCAGCAACTCCATTCTGTTCAGGGGTTCTAACACACGAACTTTGATGAATAACCCCCATGTTAGAGAGATACGAGGATAAGTTCTTCTCAAAATATTCTTTTGCATTGTCAGATCTAAAAATTTTAATCTTGGTATCAAACTAGGTTAAAACATATTCATGAAATTGCCTCACAAGTCTTGGAACTTCATCACGAGATTTCGTTAGGAATATCCAAGTGAATCGAGAAAAATCATCAATAAACAGGACGAAGTATCTGTAGCCCCCCATAGAGGATAAGTGGTAAGGCCCCCCATACATCAGAGTGCACAATATTAAAAGGAAAAGAAGATCTTTTATTGCTCAAAGGGTAATTCTTTCTACAATGTTTTGATAACTGACATGATTCACAATTAAGACTGGACACACTGATTCCCTTGAACAATTCAGGGAATAGATGACTTAAAGCAGAAAAAGGCAAATGACCCAAACGACAATGACTCAACATAATTCGACTGGCAGACTCTGAAGAGGTAGAACCAAAAGCAACATTCCTAGGCTGATCAAGGCATTGTCCAGGAGTATCGAGCAAGTATATTCCATTCACTTCATGGCCACTCCCAATCATTTTTCGAGACTCCAGATCCTGAAAAACACAGTGGGAAGGAAAGAAGGTTACACAACAATTTAATGACTTGGTTAAGCTACTTACAGATAACAAATTTGTATTTAATCTAGGTACATGAAGAGTGAAAGGTAGGAGTAAGGAGTCTGTAGCCTTGACGGTTCCCTTACCAGAAATAGAGGCAAGAGAGCCATTGGCTAAGGTGATTTTATCACGATCAGGGAGCAAATCATATGAAACAAACAAAGTAGAAAGGTTGGTCATGTGATCAGAAGCACCTGAGTCGATGATCCAAGGGGTCTTAAGATTACCTGAGGTGGTTGCATGATTAGCAGAAGCTCTTATACCTGAGTGAGCAAATGCAGAGGTGGCTGGACTTCCTAAAGGGTTGGAAGATGAAGTTACACCTTCGAGATGATTGATCATCTTCCCAAATTTTTCATACTCAACTTTCATGGCCGCCAACTATTCACAGGCAGACTCAACTTCAGTATCTGTACCAGTGGCTACATTTGCACTCCCTGTCTTTCTACTATCATGTTTCTTCTGGAATCGAACAGGAACAAGACCGGGATGTAATTTCCAGCACTTATCTTTGGTGTACTTTGGCTTCATGCAATATTCACATACAACCTCCTTCTTTCTAGAGCCCCTACAACTCCTTTGGGTTTAACCCCCATATTTGCAAAGTGATCACTAGTGCCAACCCCTTGAACCTGTACCTGTCTTCTGCTTTCTTCACTGCTGACCAAAGCATATGCTTGTGACAATGGGACACTTTCCTTGGATAAAATATTTTGTTTTTTGATGTCATATTCAGGGTTTAGTCCAGTTAGGAACTCAAAAACCCTATTTCTTTCAACTAATTTCCTRTAGGTTTCTGCATCATTGGAAGTGTCCCAAGTCACAGCCTCTATTAGATCAATTTCTTGCCACAGAGATTTCAAGGTTGAGAAGTATACCGCAAGGGATTTMTCCCCCTKTCTTAAATTCTTCACATCACTCCTCWGTTTATAGGCTCTGGCTACATTTAGTTTCTGGGAGTAGGTTTCTGCAACACTATCCCAGATTTCCTTAGCTGAGTTCATCCATAGATAATGTTGACTAATTTGTGGCTGCATTGAATTCACGAGCCACCCAATAACGGTGTAATTCTCTTGCATCCGTTTCTCATAAGAGGGATCATCCTCTAGGGGAGCCTTCTTGCTCCAGGAGATAAACCCCCACTTTCCTCTACTACAAATATAAATTTTCACAGATTGTGACCATGCCAGATAGTTGGTTCCATCCAGTTTAACCGTGGTCACAGTCAACAAAGAATCAGCTGGGGTTCCTAAAGCATGTCCATATTCAGCAACATTCTTACTCTCAATATCTGAGGAGTCCATCATGTAAAAACTTCAATTAGGGTTTCGGTCGATTTCTACTAGTGTACTGATTGTTGATGAACTCAGATTGGGTTAAATTGGCAACAAAACACAGCAACTCACAAGGCCAGTTCAGACCTGACATCCGTGAGAACCAAGCTCGGTGGCAGCTCTTTCAAGAAGAAAAAGGCTTGATTCAGCCTTCAAGAGATAACCAGCAGACCTCCAAACACTATGTACCCGATTGGAGTAGCTTCCTAGTTAGGGATTCCAGGTTCCCAACAATAGGTGCCCTAAAGAGAGCAAAACACAATCCACAGTAATTAAAGGGGCCTTTTTACGAACACTATGTATGCAGCAGTGAACACCCCACTGTCACCAAGTAAGAACCACTTCAGGAGTAGTCCGTATAGGTCCAAGAAGCAACTGAACTGAAGTAGGAACTCGCGCCACTGAGTCCAAAAAGGTTTTGGCCACTTGACAGTCCAACAAGATGAGAAACCAACCCATAAATCTCTAAGTTAAATCAGGTTGACCACAGCTGAACAGCTGAACAGATTTAGAGGGGTTTTGAACACTCTAACAGTCCCCCAAAATCAGAAATGTAACACTGAAATAACTGAAGCAACTTACAGTTTTATCAATCTCTGATTCGAGCTCCAATCAGGTCGAACAATCCTTCTCTCTGATTCTTCCTAGTCACCGAACTATTCTCCAAGCGATTAGAGTCTTAGGCACCCTCTAATGAACTCCAAGAATCAGGCGAATGAGTCTAAACTTCCAGCCCTAGAACACCCTCATGTAGTCGGCTGGACTATACCCACATGAGAGCCACGCCAAGCTCAGGCCCGCTCTGATACCAAGTTGAAAAACAGCCCTTCGAAGTATGGGACTGTGTAAGATTAGATGAAAAACCAGAAAAGGCAAACAGCTGAAAAGATTGGTGAAGATGGAGAGAGAGAGCTGGTGGCAAGGAGGGTTAGAGGATGAGAGGTTCGAACTAATCTCCCCCTCTAACACTTTAATACAATTTTATTAAGTTAATTCTTGAATAATTACAAGAGAGGCCCTTGGTTGGGCAAGAAATTACAAAAACACAGTATAGAAGAGGATGGGCCCAGAATAAAGCCCATTACAGAAAAGAACATAAATATAACATAGAATAACAGCCTATGGGCCATTCGGCCCATCTTCTCTACACATACATTCTATTGTTCCATCTTTCCAAATATTCTGGTAATAATATTTATTACTTTACTTTATCTACATCATGGTGGCATCCATATCTATGCTTGAAAAGTTTAACCAAAGACATGGTTCTGAAAATGGCAAATACAGTGCTAATATTGCGCCACTATCATAGCTTCTGGTTTTCTGAACTACACACTACACCTATAGGAAAGGTTTTACCTAACAAGCATCATTGGTCGTTACACTCATTATAGGTACTGTCACACTGTTCATTTAAAAAATTTATAAACCTCTACTTTTATTATTTGATTTAAATTTCATAAATATTATATGATACATTTCTTTTGACAGATCAACCAGCATATTATGGGCTTTATTGTTGCTTAGTTAGTTGAGTTACTGTTTTGTTTCTGTTTTTTTATTGTTGGACTTTCTTATTATTTCCATTATTCGGCCCATGGGCCTCAATTAGCTGTTCACAGGCCTTTTTCATTGCTGCTGCCTATCTAGGGGAATTATTGTAATTTTTGGTCAGTTACAGCAGTTAATTTAAAAGCTAGTGGGGGCTCACATGAGCTCCCACGATTGTAGTGTTTTTCTCCTCATTCTCTTCTCTCTTTTCTTCTTCTTTACAGCTTTTTCCTATTTAATCATCAAATTCTGGCTATTTTTTTATTATCCTTGCTGTATAAGATAAGTATTTCAGTAGTATAATACTAAAACATTGAAAATACAAAGAAGATTACACACTTATTAGCATTTAAAAGCATCATTTTGATGAATGAATTGCATAGTTCTCTTGCTGTTACCACATAATTTTATTTTTTTAAAAGCTTAATCATAATTGCCTCCAAGACTTACCCAACAAAATGATGAAAAGCACATCCCAATGTATAACCATGGCACCAGAACCCCTGAGATCTCTTCTCTTTCATAGCAAAGTAGAGACCCGGGCAGGCGTGGGAAGTTATTCAAATTCCAGCCTGACGTTACATACTTATCCAAGTTGTCTATAGGGTTCAAATGTGATCCTTTAGGAAATCCACTCCCAAATACTCCAGTTTCCAAATCAGCCCCATAATACACCTGCAATGATATCAATAAAGTCAAATGCAATGGAAATTCAAAAACAATAATAGGACATATGGAAGACCATATATCAATACCTCTATTTCTTCTGTTGGTCTCTCAACTATCCTCCAATATTCACCTTCAATATCCTCTACTGAGGGAACCCACATTTCCTTGGGTTCGTCCCTGACAAAGTTTAAGTTCTCTTCGACATCCTTCATTCCAAAATAATTCTCTTTGAAATCATCAGCATATTTCTGAAAATCATTAAGAGTGAAATCAGAACCTGAAAGGAACCCAAACTTCTCGTCTGTGTCAGAGGCAACACATTCATTAGTGTCATAGCCATCAAAACTTGTACGTCTCTGAGTCGTCCCCATCCTTGAGCGCCTTCTTCTTTTGCGCTTTCTGTGGCTACGATTTCTTAATTTCTTTTTCATTGGCTCCCTATTTTGGAGCTTATCTACTTGCTGAATTCGTGTAGAAAACATAGCATGTTCCCATATGCTCTTTTCTCTTAGAGGGCAGGGTGGCTTCCAAGAAGGAGGTGGCACAATCCGGCAGATACCATAAGGTTCTGCTTCCTTGCGTATCTTTGCAATATAACCAAGTGCATCTTCAAACTCCTGATGAATGGAGCATCAAGTCAAAGAGTAAACAATGTGAAACTCCATTAAAGACATTGAATTGATATCTAACCTTATGATAGCAATAAAAAATACCTCATCATTTGGATAAAATACTGGTGCTTCATCAATAATGGGCCTGCAGGCATCTTTTGGGTGCCATCTCGTGAATATCTGTTTGACAAAATCATGTTAACCTAGGAAAATCATGATGAGACTGGGAAGAAATGTTGAATCTTGGTTTCAGTATACAAGTTAGCTAACACTACAAGTTATGTAACAAAACCACACCAGTTGACTGTCTTTAAAGACTAAGATTCCCTACTGTGTATATACAAGGAAAGAAACAAGACTACAACTCTTCTTCTCCCAAAATACTGGACATGGATAAGAAATTGTTAAATCTTGTCCATTACACTGAACTGTGCTATGCTTTCTAGCGTCAAAGTTATGCCAGTTTGGTGATAATAATTATACCAAGTGAAAACTAAGGTTCTAACATTCAAATCTTTCTTATGGCATACCATATGGTCTTTATTTAACAAAACAACAAGACTATTATCAGATGTCATACAATATAATTTGATTAGTACAATGAGAAATCCATAGAAATTTTACTATAAAAGCATTTCTCCAGTATCCAGTACTAAAATATATAGCAGAACATAATAATACGAGCATCTAAGAATGTTGAATTTCTATTTTCCATTGCTATATTCGTATGAAATTTACTACAACATAGGTAGTATTTATGTCAAGACTAATAGATGTTAGTGAACAATTTAAATCTGAGAAGGAAAGAAATAACAGAATCTTTCAAGGAAAAAGAAAATCGAGGGAGGCTTTGATTGACTGCACCACTATCAAGGTAGTGCATTGGGTACAATCAGATGAGTTGTTTAAGGAATTCACAGTGGATGATATAATTAGGGGGTGCAGTTCAATAGCAAACTCCTCAAGATCTAGTCCAGAAATTCAAGAGAGTTGGGCAGCCTCTACACAACAAAAAATCAAGTTCAATTTTGATGGCAATTCTTTTGGTAACCCGGTTACCCAGGGCCTTCAGGTGTAGGAGGAGTCTTTAGAGATGGGGAAGGAAAAATTTTGGTTCTTTTTTTGGGGACTACAGGAGTGGACGATTTGTTAAGAGCTGAGGTTTTAGCATTGCTGAAGGTCTGACACTGGCTAAACAGATGGGACTGCACCAGATTGAAGTGGAAGGGGATTCAAGATTAGTAATAGACTGGATGAAAACTAGAAATTTGGGAATCTGGAACCACAGGCAAGCTATGAGAGAGGTATGGTGTCTTACAAGGGAAGTTGAAGCAAACTTCCAATGGGTTAGAAGAACAGCAAATGGCCTGGCCGATGCTTTAGCCAAACAAGGATCAAACCGGAGTGAACTTTTCTGGGTTGTTTTGTAACAATGGTTATGAATTTGGCTGGGTTCAGTATTTCAGCTTTGGAATTTTTTAGATGTAATGCAATGTTTTAATAATTTTTAATGAAAGTAACTGTTTCCTATAAAAAAAAAGGGATGTGAATGTATTAGAAGAAAAATGGGAAAAAAATAATATCAGTTAATCCTTCTCCAAAGCATTCAAGGAAGCAACATCCAAAATGAAACATTCATCATATGTATACTTCAACAGGTTTATCCACATTCACGGGTGTTGAGAAGGATGAAGGGGATGGGGAATTCTATACATTCAGAATGGTTCCACCGTCCAAGAAGTTAAGTGGGGGCCATGGTTTAAAATGTCCATAAATTTCCTAATATTTCCAAAACATATTTCTATTTCCGTGGGTATCAACTTGAAATACTACTGGAGTTGACATACTCCCCAGTGAAAACTTAGGTGGAGTCCAAGAGATGGTATTATAACATAAATCAGCGACAATATTATAGATCTGTAAAGTAACAGTGTTATTGCCTGCCTTATGGACATTATTACCATTTCGAGCCAGCTTGAAATTCTTTTCAAAAATGAAGATATATCTTAATTTTTTATTTGCATAATAAATTATTTGGTTGATCTATTAGAATCAATTGCATTTTTTATGAGTTCAGATTTTGCTCGATCTCACTCTATCATGCAGTTTTGACTGTTAAAGTTTACAGGATAACATTGTAGCATGTTATTTTACCTATTAACCTTAGTTTTGTTTGATGATATAGAACAAGATAATAATTTAAAAGGGTCACCTGTGCTTCTTTTATTATTACATAAAATAACATTCTATATTTTTGCATATTTCACAATGTTTCCACTATATCTATAACTTTTACAATGTTTCCATTCGACATTTCTACATTTATGACATGTTTCCTATATTTGGATGACCAATATTTCCATCAACACTGACATTTTAAACTGTTAGAATACACAAATCAGGGGTGGTCATTTGGGTTTATCTATTTGAGAGTGAAAGGTCTATTTTATTTAAGTTTAAGTTATGTGTCCCATCACTTATGAGGGACAATATGATATTTCTTGTAACTATGTTATTGGAGATAAATACAAGTGGATCAGCTAGAGGTGGACTGATTTTTCCTAATCTGGCCGAACCCTTCTTCTCCTCCTCCTCCTCCTCTTCTTCTTTCTCTTCTTCTTCTTTACTTTAACCTAGAATCGAATAGGGTTTTTACATGGTATCAGAGCAATAAAACCTAGTTCTCTTTTCCCTTTTTTTCTTCTTTCCTCACTGTTTGTCTTCTTCCTGGGTTCGCTGCCAACCATTTCAGCTTTCTTTGATTTTCTTCTAGCCTGAGTGGAAGCTCGACAAGAGGCCAAAAAAGAGTAGCCATTTTGTGGTTTTGGAGGTGAGTATCCCTCCAGTTACTGTGGTGGTGGTCATTGAGGTTGTGTACTAGATGCCCTCTATTCTGTGATACGAAGAGGGCTGTTTGTGGACAGGTATGAACAATTCTGTTTTTTTGCCCAAATAGTGGACTATAAATGCTGTGTTTTGGTTCAAAATATTTTTTTTTGTGGAGGTTTGAAGTGACTAGTATGCATATCAGCCTTGTTCTCCTCTGTTTTTACCTCATATGTGTGCTGAAAGTAGGGTTTTTTCGACTGCTGAAGTTCATGCAGCAGTGGTGTGGTGGTGGTTGTACTGTGTTGAATGGTGTGTGGATGCTTCTGAATAGTTGAAAGTGAAACCTTGTGTCATGTGGTGGTGTTTATACTGATTCCTGTGTTGGATTTAATGACTGAGTGATTTCAGCTTTTGTATTTGATGTGCAATGTGTATTTGAAGAAGGTGGTGGTGCTGAAAGTGAGATAAGTTTTGTGGAAGTGCGTGAGATTGTGCTGAATATTTGAAGGTGAATTAGTTAAGATGGCATCAATTGGAGATGAAAATGACAATAAAACAGGCGTTATGATTTCTCCAAATTACCTAAATGTTCAAATGACATCTATTAAGTTGAATGGTGAGAACTATGTGCCGTGGGCAAAATCTGTGGAGGTGTTTTTAAAGGCCAAGAAAAAAGTACATGTGAGAGAGGAGAAACCCTTCTGATTCTCCGGGGTTTAGTGACTGGGAACAGGAAGATGCACAAATAAT